GTGTTCTCCCACTGTGTCTGTTTGGCTCAGCCTTGGCCAGCAGTGGGTCCATCTTGGGGCCGGCTGGCATTGGCTCTGTTGGACACAGGGGAAGCTTCTGGCAGCTTCTCACAGAAGCCACCCCTGTAGCCCCCCCACTACCAAAACCTTGCCACGCAACACCAACGCAAACACTTAGTTAAGAAAAGGTTTGCATTTAGATGGAAGGAGAAAGGTTTCATTTGTTCCATTATAAATATCAGGGCACAAATGCACACTTATGAAAATGTGAAGGTGACAATGAAAAACAGATTTCAATAATATGATATAGTGATGTTTGCAAATCTAGGGGACCTCCCTGCTGCTAATATCAACAGAAACATGCTGTGAGATTCAACCCAGCTGTCAGATATTCATTACTACTTCAACCATCCCTTATGCGTTGTATAAAAAAAAAGGCAACATAAAATAAGGGGGTTTTATGCAAAGAACTTGCTGATAATAGCTCTGTTTCAGGGAGCAGTAAATGTACTTTCGTAACTTTTTCATTTCATTTCAGTGTTTCAAGAAAGGAGTTCAATCTGCAAGACAGTGCAACCCCTAACACATTTGGATATGAGCTGGCTTGATTGAGACACGCTGTTGCTAACAGCGAACACTAAAAACTTAGACAAGCCATTGCATACTTTAGAAATCATATTTCATGAGAACACTAAAGTACCGCAAAGACAAGACACGATTCTACAATGTACAGTCTCTTGTCTGGAAAGTTTAAGCTGTGCTGCTACCGGTATCCAAATCTGGTTATTGTCTCAGCTCCGGGGACAGACGACAGAAGGGGAGATTAGGCAACAGCCCCAGGAACTCGTTGCCTCTCAGGAAGCGTGGCCGCTGCCAAAGCCGGTCATTTGCAGGGAAAGGCAGAGGGGACACAACCCCTGATCCACCACCGACCTTCCAGGATGCATTACTGTGCCCCACCTGGGGTATGGATCATGGCCCAGGGATGCCAGCGCAGTGCGGAAGAAGTCTTGCTAAGCCTCATTCACAGTCTTGACCAAATGCCTGGCTGGAATAAACATCTATGCTTCCCAAACCAAAATCAACAAGAACCTGGGCTTCAGAAAAGGAGGGATTTTTCCTTCTTTTAATATTTTCCTATAATACACTTATGTGCCTCTTCAGAGTGGCAGACTGGGGTAAAAAGAACTGACCATTGTAAAGTAAAATTTCATTGAAGCAAATTCAGCATTGGTGTTATTTTTTTCTGAAACTCTTTGTTTCTTTTGGACTTTAAACACTTTCAGCCAAACTAGATGAGGATCCTCAGTAAGTCTATGGAACAATATATCCCAGAAGGGCCTAAGCAGTGTCTTTCATGGGACAGTGATATACTTGTGCCATTATCGCTCAAATTTTTATA